TCCCTACCTTGAAGTTATCAAGGTATCACCTTGTATTGTTTTCTAAAAGCTGTATTTCCCATTCTCTCTTCTAATCTTCTAATAATTCCAACTTGGTTTTTGTCTCCTGCTTCCCTAAAATTGTGCTTGTAAATTCACCAACTTTATATTTTATCTTAATTCCTTTCCTGAGCTACATATGGTGTTTTCAGTTATTTACCGACTTCATTGCTTGTACATTTACATGTTGCAGTTGAGAAAGAAGCTCCTGACTCCTCACTTCCCCAAACATGGTTCACCTTCCAAAGTTTCCTATCTCAGTTGTTCAGGTCCCAAACTTGAGTCAACCTTGATCTCTCCCTTTCTAAAAGCCCCTAAATCTAATTAGTTAGAAATTCTTGTTATTTCTTCCTAAAAATATTTCCTGAATTCACTCTTTGCTGCTAGCTCCTTAACCATCCTTTCCCTGGATACCTGCAATAGTCTGTCTGAGCTGTCTTCCTTCTTCTACTCTGTCCTCTTGTAGCTCTTTCTCTTTAGAGGATCTAGGTTAATCTGAAAATGAAAACTGATTATATGATTTCCCTCCAAATTCTTGTCCCAACATGTAGGATAAAATAGAATCTTTTTATTTTTGGAGAGGTTTTTCGCTATAGGGCACGTGCGCTCGCCAGACAGAGAGAGACACAGAGACAGAAAGCGAGAAATCACCCCCCAGGGGGGATGGTCACGCCGCAATCCCCTCTCCTCCACTCTCCTCTCGGGATCCTGGGCACGCACACACACGCATCCGGCGTGAGTTTTAAGCCACCGGGTCCATGACGCGAACTGCGATCGACTACGTGGTAGTCCAGCCACATAGCCATTACACCAACTGCTGGTTCCCAAAATAGAATCTTCTTTATGTGGTCAACACGCCTGTTTCTTCAAGCTCATCTATACCAGTCTCTCATTAGTTTTGCTTCAACCACATTGCCTTCTTATTGTTGCTCAAACTTACCATACTTCTACTCACCCCGACACCTTTATACTTGCTTTCATCTATTTTGTCTGTATCTCTGCTCTAGAATTCAGATTGACTAGTTTAGAATAGTATCTAATATATGGTAAGTGACCTAAAACTACTAATAGATAAATAAGCAAATTAATGGATGAAAAAATGAATGAATGCATAGATGGATAAATTTTATATTAAAAAATCCTTTCTTAACATGCCAACCAGTTTTTATTGTACTAGCAATTTCAATTGAATTTATATGATTGGAGGTGGATTAATGTAGTAGATAGCCCTAGAAAATCATCTGTTTGCTTTTTGAATTAATTTCTGATTCAGTAGTTTTTTCCCTCCAAAATAACTTATTATTTAATTCAAATTCTGACTATTTTAATTTCTTTAGATGAGTTTTTTCATGGTTGTATACTGGAATAAACAAATAAATGTCCTCAATACTGTGAAATTCTTCTTTCTTGTAGAGATACTATGATCCTTAAAATGATATTTATTAAGGGGTAAACTTAGACAGGAAAGAAACCTTGGAAGTTATCTGATTTTAAGTCCATCCCATTATAGAAATTTTCAAAAACATTTATGCAGATAATCATCCACTTTCTGAATAAGAATCTCCCATGATGAAGGACTTCTTCCTTCAAATATGACTGCTTCTTTCAAGAATAAACTTAATGACCTGTATTGCACATGGATTAATCAAACTGATTGTTTAGGACTGGAAAGGACTGATTTTTCAGGTTTGAATTATGTAGACATGTAAAAAATATAATTAGAAAAATCTATTTTGGGTCTCTTTGAATCATTTCATATTTCACAAATTGGAGAAAAAGGAAGTGGAATAAATAAGCTAGAGCCTCTAAAGGATTTAGAATCTTAGTCTGAGTTCTTTGGGCCCCTTTTTCCTAACCACAGAGTAATTATTATTGTTAATGGTAAATTGATGCTCTGTAAGACTCACTTTCGACTTTATCATAAAATAAATATATTTTCTATTAGTCTTCTGAAATTTCCCCCCTTCTTTTGTCATCCCGTAATAAATGTCTTACTCTTTATAATGTCATCTACATTATACTGCATAATATGTTTGTCTATACCACTGTTAAGGGCAATGACTATCGTGTACCTTTGTTCCATTAGCAACAGTAGAGAACCTGGAACATAGGAGGGCACAATAAATTTGCTAAATTAATGATTTAGACTTTGTTATTAAGAATTACAGTTAGTGCAATAAATAGTTAATTACATTATGAATTAATATATTTATTGAAATAATTACATATTAATTAATTACATGTTTTGGATAATACTCTATTTTAAAATGTTTTTAATGTATTATTACTATTCATACATTCAATCGCTATACATCATTTAGATTGTAACGAGCATGATATGTACCTCAGTCCAGCCCAGTTGAGAATACTATACACATCCTCATCAACAGGTAATAAACCATATCTGTGTCCCACAGTACTCCTTATTATTTTAAACATGGAAGAACTTAGTATAAACATCAAAAATTCACTGTCATTTTTTATTGTTTAGTATGTACGCTTTCTCTATGTTGATCAGGAATGGAAAGGACTGTTTTTTTAGCACTAAAAACTCTTTACAACTAAATTAGGCTGCTGGAAAATTTCTGCTTGAATTTCCATAATGACTTTTTAAAGACTGAAAAGATTTATAAATTACCACTCCTTCATAAATATTTAAAATTACTTTCACGAAGTCATTTAGAAATCAGGAAAATGAAACCCAATCAGTACATTTTAAAAAAGAAACTGTTCAAATATTACTCTTGTTTCAAGTATCTCTTCATACAAATATGTAGATTTTGTTAAATAGTAACTTTTAAAATTTTTCCAGTAAACAATTATATTTGCTTTATTTTCTGCCAGATAAATACCTTTCTTATATGTAGCTTTCTCTATATAGGAATAAACACGTATGTCTGTGATTATGTGAGGGCACAGGCGCGTACACACACAGACACACGTACACACACACAGACATGCAAACACGCATACACCAAAGACATTGCTTCTTGAGGCTTACTCTAAATTACCAGTTTAAGGTCCTCACAGGGTGGGCCAGGGAGTGTCTTGCTGGACGCTTTCCTCAGCTGAAGAGCTTGATTACAAGGCAATGAAAGTGGCAAGCCTTTGGAGTCTAGTTGGCAGTTTTTCATTGGACAACCAATTAAATAAATTTTTTCAGATTGTCCTTCATAAATTACAACTTCCATTGAAAATTAGGCAGGTAAAGGTTTTTAAAAGTGTTTATTTGAAATAAAATGTGCCAAAGATTTGTTTTTACATTTCACTAAGAGTTGGTTATATTTTCAACTTTTTCTAAAAAGCAGATGGCTTTAATGTAGATCTCTTCCCAAGTTTACATTCGGAAATAGAAGAAGTTTCATCACAATACATGGAGTTGTTCTGATGCCCAGGTGTAGGGAGTTAGTTGTTAGAAGGAGGAAGCCCTGACCACACAGATGATCAGGCATAACCAAGCTTTAGCTGCACTAGGGACCCATTAAAATGTGTTAATATTTGTGATTCAGACAATACAGATCGGTGTGCCATTAAATTTTAACATATTTTATTTCATTTATGGTCTTGGTCAGGTGTATGTGAGAGAGAGGAAGAGAGTGGAAAGAAAAGGGAGAGAGAGAGAGACATTTCTCTTAAGATAGTTTTACTGATATTAAGCTATTTAGTTTTTCTGTTTGCAAATCAATTCTTCCACTTTTTTCTTTCCTTAACTTACAATTCATTGCTTAGATTTAGCTTTTGAGGATCATTTTATTCTCAATTGTATCTACCAGTGAAAGAGAAGTGGGAAATTCTTCCTGATGATTAAATCTTCACTTCTTAAAATTACTGTTATTTAGTTGTTACGTAGTTGTACCTGAGAGGATTGTTTAGGTGTATTCCTTGTCAGTTATTCCACCACCTCTTGCTTCACAAATTTCTACATTTTGTTCACTTTCTTGCTTGGAAACTTCCTCGAGAGGACCCCTCTTGGCTCTTCAAACTTGCCCAGTTTCCTTTCATATATCCTCATAAAGTGCCTGTTTTTCTCACTACCAGCACTTATTACAATTGTAATAAAATCGACTCTATGATTAGTTTAATAGATTTTCTCTGTTACACATCCATAGTACTATGCAACATTTATATAGGTTTCTTGAGGAAATATAAAATCTATGGTAGTAAAGATTAAATAGTGTTTGTTAACCCATATTTATGTAACAGGATATTAAAATAGAACACTCAGTTTCTGAAATTGTAGTCAGGCACACCTGCAACAGGCTTTGCAACAGAGAATGACATACACATGGCACTAGATCCCAGTTTTCTCAGTAATCCAGTTCCGGTAGGTTGTCACTCTGGTGTATACTCCCGGCTTATCTGGCAGGCCACACCTATAGCCCCAGCTCACTATCCCTACGAGGAACCAAATCCGTCGTGAGTCCTCTTGTACTAGTGGGCCACCAGAGTCACCCTGAAGGAAATAGAATAATTGATAAATTCAGTGCAAAAATGGCTCTCAAAGTATTTATTTATTTATAAAGTGTATTTATTTCTCTCTAGAGAGAACAACGAGGATCCTCCCTCCCCCAGCACACAGTGTGTCTTCATGTTGTGAACCATTCCAGGCTCAGTCAGCCTGAATCATGCGACATGGGGGGCCCACAGGAAGGCCCTGGGACTTGAACCTAGGACTTCTCCTGTGGGTCCAGTTGTGTTACCACTGTACCACTCTCTGTTCCAGGACTTTATTTTTATGGCAGTAAAGGAAGAAGTCATTTTTATTATATTTATAAAATCATTCTATTTCCTTTTGAAATATTATAGCAGGATATAAAAAAAAATACTAAAATCCTCCAAGCATACACATTTTTTCCTTCTTTTCAGTAAGTCTGAAAAGATGAGAACCACATTTCCCAGACTTCTCAGTTACTACTCAGTTGCCTTCTACTCTTCCTAGTCTTCCTCTTATTAGGAAGCCTTCACTGACATACCTGCTCCTTTTCTCCCCATTCCCACCTCTTCCAGCTTTGGTTTCCGTTAGTTTCTCATTGTATTCCCACATCCTGTGTGTACCTCTGCCATGGCTTCTTTTTATAAAAGCACATTTATGTGCCTGTCTGAATTGACCCCAACTGTTCAGCTCCCTTCATTGTAGCAGCCACAGGTCTCTACAACACTCCTTGCATTTATGATACTTGCTCATGTCTGTTTTGTCAGCTCTACTGTAAGGTCTATTGAGGAAGGAAGCATACCTCTTCTGAATATTACTGCAGCTCAAGCTTTTAGCTCATAAGAGATGCTAAGGAAATATTTATCAAATAGATGAGTTTCTAGACGTCGCACTTATCTTTATTTCTGTAGCATCCTGCATGCTATCTGTTGCACAGTATATCATCAAAAAATACTCTTTTGGTGAATCATTGAAGAGAAATTTATATGGCAATAAATAAAACACACCTTATGAGATACTTAACCAGCCAGTTATAATAATACACCAACTAATCAACAAATATATATGCATATAATAATCTAGTTGGGGAGGTAAAGTTAGTACATCTGGGGGTTCTGGAACTAGATAACTGAGGTTTGAATCCTCCACTTATTAGCTATGGGATCATCACTAAGCTATTTAATAATTCTCCATGCCTCAGTTTCCTCATCTGTAAATAATGTTTTATAAGTTTAAATTAGTTTAACACACAAGCATGTTGAATACATCCTCTCATGTAGTTGGTACTAATAAAAAGCAGCTATTATTACCAGGTGTGCTTCTGGAATAGCTAGCTATTCATTTGACTGCTCTTAGTAGCCATCTCTTCCATATCTATTTAATTACTGGTCTAGATGGGGAGAAGAGTCAGTGTGTGAATCACCAGCTTGCATGGCTAGTACTGATTGGAGCTGATTGGCACCTGGCCCCTTTACGTGATGCAGGCATGATTCAGTTGGCCAGTTCTCAGTACTTTCCTATCATTGTGTTTTGCTGCTGATTTTCCTATAGTGGGAGATTTTTCTGCATGGCATCTCACCCAAAGCTAGCAAAGAAATGTTAAAATAAGAGGGATATGTAATTTTTTCTGAATCTGTCCTGCTTCACTCCCTGCTGCAGACATTTGAGCTCATGTCCTTTCTTCCAGACCATAGATTTGCTGAGTACAGGGTTAATACTGTTAGTACAGTGTTGTGCTAACACATTTTCTGGTGCACAGAAAGTAATTAATAAAATCTATTTGAGGGAATGATTATGTGAACAAAACAAAGAGGATCTCAGAAGCTCTTATGTAAAATGTGCTTTTTGTGTTGTTCTTTATTAAAGCAAATTATATGCATTATAGTATTTCAGTTGAAAATCATCATGAATTATGATTCGAAGTGGGCCTGAAGAGTAAAAATTGTATATACAGATGGTAAAGTACATTATAAGTAAGTAAAGCATGAGTAACACCCTTTTAATTCTCTTGTGTTAGTTAAGTTAGTTCTAATTAATACTTTTAGGAGATCTGAAATTGCCAGTGTGATGTGTTGTTTATTTGATTGGTAAATCCTTTAGAAAACTATCATGAAACGAGAACTTGCTGTCATAGTGCTGCAGTAAAAGAGAAAAAAGAAGGGGAGCAAAAAGAGTTCCCTGCCACAGAGAAGACTAGTTAAAGGAAATAAAGTGGTAGTGATATCTTGAAAACTGAGAAATCCACACCTACACACTACCTGAAGCTGATAAAAATGATCCATTTGGGGGAAGGTCTTACGGATTAGGCTCTTTGAATAGACTACTACTTTTCATCCACTTTTTCAATATTGTGAGCACTAAATATACAAGTAACATTTTATACAAAAGTAAGCATTATATTTGTGTATACAATTTATGTAGGAAAACAGCAGCAGATTCCTCACGAATCAGATTGGGGATGTAGTGGTTGAGGTGCTGGACTCCCACATGGATGATTGCAGTTTGAATCCCGGACCACGGGTCTTGAAACTCATGCTGGTGTGTGCTCAAAATCCCAGGAGGAGAATGGAGAATGGATTGCAGAGTGGCCATTGCCCTGGGGGCTAATTTCTCACCTTCTCTCTCACTCCCTCTCTCTGTCTCTCTTTAGCCACTGCACATGCCTTATGGCAAAAACCTTAAATAGACAAAAAAAGAAAAATTGATTTTCTTAATTCTGGACTAAAAGAATATTCAACTTCTTACTGCATAGTTATTCCTGTAACTATATAGTTTGGATAAGACATATGAATAAAAGTTATAAAAATATATAACTACATCAATTAAGTTTAGATAATTTTATTAAAAACTTTAGTGTTAAAATTTTATTCTAATTCCTTTAAAGTGAATATTTGTTGTTTGCTTTTATATATTTGATCACAAAGTTATTTAACTTTTTTTCTAAAACACTACTGTATTTTTGAGATCCAAATAGTTATTTATTTTATTTGCCATTTGTGTTTCACAATTCTGAGAGCAGTTGTGACTTAAATATTTCAGCTTTTGGTATAAATTCTCTATCCTCAGGGTACTTCAAGTATTATTTATATCTGAAAATTTGGTTCTTGTCTAAGACTCTTAAATGAGTGATTATTTTATTTTTTACCCCTCATAGCAATGAAAAGAATGTGATTAAAATTATTAATATCAGTGACCATGGTCCACACTAACAGCAATTATAAAAAATAGATTTCTTCATGGCTTAATTATTGCCTGATTGATTAATCTTCATTTAATCTTTAGTAGGACCTAAAATGTTAGGTACTATTTTTATCTTCATTTTACAGATAAAAGGAATTGGTTATAGAGATTAAGGAATTCAGATTCAAATCTAAGTTTTTGGACTTGAATGTTTAACTGCCCTGTATTGTGGCCTTTCAGTGTTTTCATGATAGACTTTTAGGCCTAGCCATGGTAGCATGCACTGCTAAGACACTGCAGTCTGTAGGCTGGGACCACACAGGAGGACCTGTTTGAATCTGGGTCCAGTCTAAATGCTGGTAGGGTCGTATTAACCTGCAGCCTGTAATCCTAGAGACTTGGAAGGGTGAGGGAGGAGAATCACAGCAAAGAGAGACCTTGTCTAAAAAAGAAAATTTCTGAAATTTAGATTATAAATTTTTAATGGATAAGGGATGTGTATTGAACGGTTACCTTTCTGTCTATCATAGTATTGCATGCCAGTACGTGCTTATAAACTTCTTGGATGATGACATTGAGAAGATTGTCTTCAATTTACCTGGCATGCATCCACTCCACCTTGAGGTAATCCAGCACACAGCATTCCAGAAAATACGGCTCCATTATAACTAGCTGGACCATTGCATTCTTCATTACTTATTATTTTGACTCGTCCTTGCTCCAGTTCTGTAACTGCGTTGCCTGTTTAGCATAAAAACAAAGAAAATGAACTTCAAGATGTATAATTAATGACTGCTGAATTTAAGAAGAAATAAATGTACACCAAACATTATTTTCTAGTCATCATAGAAGGCTACTGAAGTTTTATGTTCAGTTTCTTCCCAGCAAAGATTCCCATAGTGAAGAAGGATAACTTCTTTATGTCGGCCACTTTTTTGTTGTTGGTGGTGTTTTTTGTCTTAACTTTCACTTTGTGATACAGTGCCCTCTTAGATCTTTAAAGAAAACAAATAAATGGGTTCTCTTGAAATTGACGAGTGGCATTTAAACTATCCATTGACTTATTTTGGATTGGAAAATCATTGATACGTATGGAGTAACCTTCCATCTAACAAAAAAAGGAAAAAACAATCTAGCTCCAAACCTAAAATATTAGTCCATTTTATACTGATACTTCTTCAAAGTGTCACCATTCTGGTTTTCCACAACTGGCACCAATTTTATCTCTACACCAAATTACTTTGGACCAAAAGAAAACAACAAAACATTTTCTAGGATAATTAAGGTTTTGTATTATTCCTTGGAGAGGAAACCCACTGTATGTTTGGTAAAAGCCCAAATAAGTAGTCCATGCTGTCTTTGTAGTCTATAACTGATCCTCTTATTTTCTCCTTAGTTGTGTTTGTTCTTTCATATTGTCCTCATTTTAATTTCCATTTTATTCTCATTCAGCAAACAAGTATAAGCACTGTTTATGGAAACATAGTTTCATGTCATAGAGACAGAATTTATTTCATTCCAAAGTATTTTAAAGAGTGCCTAATATCTTTAGTGTTAAAATTTTATTCTAATTCCTTTAACACCAATACCTTATGGGCTATTAAAACCCCTAGAGAATGTCTATGCTAATCCTTTTTTCTCCCTTTCTTTATAGGGAGCCATTTGAGTCCTTTAGAGCCTCTGATTAAAGACACATTTTTCATCACTTTTACATTTTCCTGTTACCATGTTTGAGAATTCTTCATTATTTCTATGGGCATTGCCTTGTTTTGCTTTGCTGGGGAAATTTAGAGCTAGTCAGACTTTCAGTTGAATGGAATATAGGGTGTTTCTTTCTGTATAACCTGTCCTCTAGGTATTTCTAGTTTAATATATATATAAAATAGTAAATTTCAGGAGATTCTGGTGGTAGTTATTTATTTATTTTTTGCCCTGAAACAAACACTTACCAATGTATCTTCGAGATCCCCATCCTGTTACATAAGCAGTAGAACCAGGTGGAATATTCTGGGTAGCCTCTGGGAGACACACCGTATGAATATTTTTGGTAAAGGTGACCCTTTGGTTAAGATACACAGCTGCAATATCATTTTCATGAGTTATAGGATTATAATTGTTATGGACTGAAATAGTCCTTACTCTTACTCTCAGCTTAGGCAATAATGTGGAAATACCAAAGTTGACAGTCCATTGATAAGGCTCAGGGTAGCTAAAAAAAATATAAAAAATGATATTTTTAATAGAAAATATGTAAGCATTTCACACATGGATTTTATGTTGCCACCTCCTACCACCATTTAGGACTGTCTGGTTGACATCTCTTTGCTATATTTTCCCATATTATAAGCTAGCAAATTAATTTGAACTCTTTACTACCTAAAGAAACAGAGAAAGAGGGACCAGCAGTTAACGTAATGGCTATGTCACTGGACTCCCACGTAGTTGACCACGGTTCGAGTCCTGGACCCAGTGGTTTAAACTCATGCCGGATGCTTGTGCGTGTGTGCCCAAGATCCTGAGAGGAGAATGGAGGAGAAGGGATTGTGGCATGGCCATCCCCTCTGGGGGTGATTTCTTGCTTTCTGTCTCTCTTTCTCTCTCTCTGTCTTTCTGGCGAGCACACACACTCTATAGCTAAAACCTCTCCAAAAAGAAAAGAAAGAAAGAAAGAAAGAAAGAAAGAAACAGAGAAAGAGTTTAGAAAACATATCTTGGGATGAATAATTTGGTGTTTTTCTATTCCAATGAGGATCTTCTGATACTTTCATGATAACTAGCATAACTTGAGTCTCCTTTTTTATTTCTCCCTTTTCTATAGTCTGCCATTTAAGCAGCTAAGATGTCTGAATGACCAATTTGGTTTTAATTAAATTTTTTCAATTCTATTTTGCCTTGCCTTTATCTAAGTAGTAGTTATAATAAGAAGCATCATTATCTTATTAATGAATGAGTGATTTTTCTGTACTACTGGGTCTTCGGAAAAGTCATGATGTATATTTCTGTTTTGTGTGCAAAAAAGCATCATGACTTTTCCAACAACCCAGTAAGCATGGTTCTTGTTGAAGATTTTGGTATATATTCATTGTGTGTGTGTGTGTGTGTATGTGTATATATATGTATATAATTTGGATAAAAAGTGAAGACGCACTAACATGAAAATAATGTAAGGCTTTATCTTGATGACATTGGAATTGGGACTTTTTGGGTAAACTCAACCATAATGAAAAAAAAAATTAAAAATGATAAATTTCATCAAATCAAAATTAAGCATGTTGTAGACAAGTTTACCAGAAGGATGAGAGATCATGAGAAAATACTGGCAATGATTAATATCTAAAGTTTTTGTAGGACATACAAAAAGTGCCTGCAAACCAACAATAAACAGACAGGAATACCAATATAAAATGGACAAAGACTATCAACAGGAAATTCATGGGAGGGGAAGCTCAAACAACTCCTTAATATATAAAAAGTACCAAAATTTACTATGTATCTATGTACATTTGGAAGAGTGACAAAAATTAAGCCGAAGAATAGTACCAAGTGTTGATAAGGAGAGAAACTGGAATCCTTGCATTACTGGTGAACATGTAAACCTTTAGAAAGCTTTCTGGTATTTAGCAGGCTGCATATGTAGCCCTGGGTACGTATCCTGAAGAAATTCTTGATGATTCTTAGGAAGACATGCTTGAAGATGTGTGTGTGTGTGTGTGTGTGTGTGTGTGCGCTCTTTGTGACAGTGGGAAGTTGGAACCTAGATAAATGAAGAAAGTATGGTGGGCACATACAATGGGATACTATGTAGGAGTAAACTAGATGGAAGTTCCTGAGATTGAATGAAAACACTAGAAACCATATGGGACAATACACAATGCTACTTATATCAATTAAAAGGGTTCACCCCCCCCCACACACACACACATCACACACCCCTATAGGTTTTGTGGGTATGTGTATACTTAAAGACATATTTAAAATGACCAATGGCAGGAAGGAATACAGTGGAAATAAGATCTAGGGATAAAAGGAGAAAAAACGTAAAATAAGAGAAAGACTTTGACCTGGGAGGCTGATTCATTTAACATTGCTTTTGAGTTTGAATAAAAACAAAATGTAACTGAACAGTAATTTAAGAGTTTTGTAGTTTACAATAGATAGTGGAGTTAATTCAGAAAAGAAAAATTACATGTCAAAGTAAGGTGCAGTGGCCTGTGTTAAGAGTAAACGCAAAGGTGTGTGTGCGTCTGTGCCCAAAATCCCTAGAGGAGAATGGAGAAGGGAATTGCAGCGTGGTCATCCACTCTGATGGGCGATTTCTTGCTTTCTCTCTCTCTGTTTCTCTCTGTCTCTCCAGCAAGTGTATGCACCCTATAGCAAAAACCTCCCTGGGGAAAAAAAAAAAAAAGAGTGAACCCTAGCTAACAATTCAAAAGAAAAAAAATTAAAATGTAAGCAAATTAATGAGATTTTTGTTTGCTTGTTTGTTTTTACCTTCAATTTCTTTTGTTCAGGGTCTTTACAGTGAAGATTTTCAAGAGACCTTTCTTTTCCTCTTTTCCTCTCTTTCTTACTTCCTTGCTTCCTCCATCCCATCCATTTCTTTTCCTTTTTTCTCTTGTCAACAAATGAGTAAGAACATGATTTCGAGCCAGTTAGGCTTAGATTTAAATCTCAGTTATGCCTATATGTTAGCATTGTTTTTTATGGCAAGTTAGTTAATATTGCCGATCCTTTATTATGTGTAAAATGTGGCTGATGATATCCTCTCATGTAGCTTAAGAATTAATGAGATAAATAAGGTATGCACAGTGCTTGGCATGAAGGAAAAACTCAATAAAGGTAGCTATTATTTTCATTAATTATAGTTCAACAAGCCCTTGTTGAGTGCTGAGTATCTACTTTGCAGAAGGAATAATATGGAAATTATTTATTAATTAATTATACATTTTATTTCTGGAAATAAAAATGTAAATATTTTCATCTTCTACAGTTTTGAGGAGTTCCATACTCTAGTGGAGTAGACTGACAGAGACAAGTAAACTATTATAAATTGTGAAGATGGCTGTTTTATTTGGCTTTTTTTTTTTTTTTTTAGATATTTTTGTTATAGGATACTTGTGTTCACCAGAGAGACAGAGGTAGACAAAGAGACAGAAAGTGAGAAATCACTCACAGGAGAGATGACCATGCAATCCCTTCTCCTCCATTCTCCTCTCAGGATCTTGGGTATGTATGCACACATACCTGGGGTGAGTTTGAAGCTGCCCGCTTAGGACTCAAACCATGGTCAACTATGTGCAAGTCCAACAACACAACCATTACCCATCTACTGGTCTTGAAGATTGCTGTTAAGACAGATTTCTGTGGGAACAGAATGGGGAGGCAAGAGTATCAGGGAAAACTTTGTAGAAGAGGTGATGATTCAATGATCTTCTCCAACAGGTCTCATCGCCCCTATGTACCTTGATGTAAGGTGACTCATACCCCAAACAGATACTTATTGGTGGTTCTCAGTGACAATGAGGTCTTTTTTTTTTAGAATTATTTATTCAATTTGATTTTTTATTATTATTACTATTTTTAAGTAATTTTTAATTTCAATTTTTTATACATTCTATCACATGTTACTTAGCTTACAAATTGAATATTCCTACATGTGTATATTTCTCACCATTCCAGTTGACAATAGTATGAAGTGACAATGAGGTCTTTAGGGAAGATGCTAGTACATGGTTCAAGTAGCTTGTTAGCCATAGTGGATCAATCATGGTGAGAAATAGAAGGGTTTAAGGTGGCAAAATTCAAAGATGTTCCATGGATTCTTTTGATAATAATTGATCTATTTATAATGTAGGTTTTATTTTATATATATTGGTTGTCAGAAAAGTCATGACATACTTTTTCTATGCAAAAATGTGTCTTGACTTTTCTGACAACCTAATGTAGATAACAAAAATATGTATTATTATGTATATGTGATTTTAAGAATTATTATTTATTTAACTTGTTCATTCATTTATTTTTAATTTGACCAGAAAGAGACAGAGAGAGAGACAAAGAGAGAGAGAAAATGAGAAAGCAATCCACCAGGTCTGGGACTCAAACCATGACTGGCCATGTGGGAGTGACCAGTGCCTTAACTACCATGCCACCTGCTGGCCCCATGGTTATGTGTATTTAAAAAAAAATATTTATTTAATTTTATTTATTTACTTTAATTTGACCAGAGAAAGACACACACACACACACACACACACACAGAGGGAAAGTGAGAAAGCAAACCTCCAGGTCCAGGACTTGAACCATGGTCAACCATGTGGGAGTGTCTAGCACCTTAATCATCACACCACCTGCTGGTCCCTGCATATGTGGTCTTAAGCTAACTTTCCTTGGTTAGGTCTGAATAGGACTTGGAATTCAGTTCTGTTTCTATTTCAGCTTGGTAATGCTAAACGCTTGCTAAATCCAGGCATTTGCATTTCTGGTTCCCACACTCAGGGTATGAGTCAAATTAAGTAATGCCACTCCTGGATTTTGGTCTATTAGGTGGCAATATAATGACTGAAATGTGTAGAGAGCATCCTTTAGACACATTCAGAAACAAGCTTTTGTAAGCCATTTTAGTAGGGCTATTGAGAAGCATTTACATATGAAAGTAGTATTTGCTTGTATGTAGAGAGTGGCTAGTTTGAAGACATGTGACTTCCTTTAGCTGGATACTGGGCAAAATTGAGGTATTGAGTATTAACAACAGCAACAACAAAAAATAACCATTGATAGCAAGCAAATACTACTTTCATATGTAAATGCTTCTCAATAGCCCTACTAAAATAACTTACAAAAGCATGTTTCTACATGTATTTAAAGGTCACATATTTTCAGACTGACTGCTCGCTACAGAAATGTTTCTGTGAATTTTATTTCTTATGTTATCTGGGATACAGCAACTATTCTTCAGATCTAAATAAAAAATTAGATAATTCTGGGATTATCTCTTTAGATATATTTCAAATGTATTCATGGCATATATAAATATTGAGTTGTAAGATAGCTATAAGAAAACTTCAGAATAATTTGGGGTTTTGTAAACTTTTTTCAGTAAATGTACACTAGTCTTGTTAACCTTCATTCTTCTTAATTTAACAAACATTTTTATAACAGGCACTGTATTATGAAATAGTACCTTTTAGCTGAAAAAGGACTCAGAAAAGGTGAAGATTTCATAGAATTCCAATAGGAAGATATGGAGATTTGGAAAGGATATTAACATTTCAGGCAGAAGAACTGATTGAACAGATATTCATAGGTTTATGGGGGCAGAATCCAGGGCAAGAATATAATGCTGTTTTGGCTGAAGTTCAAGATGGATGCTTTGAGAAATAAGTCTGGATTAATCTGAATATGGAAGGCTTTTGGTGTGTGATAAGAAGTTTGGATTTTAGACAGTGAAAGGTTATTGAAAGAAGTCTGAGAAGAGTATAGCTATGGTCAATGTTATACTTGAATTTGGATCACTATTAATTCTCTGTTTGAACTGTTTGAGTTTAGTTCTCAACTACTGTTGGGGTCTGAATAGGTGTGAAACTAACAGGTTTAATCATGCTGATGTTTAAAATCCTTCTGTTAGGAGCAGTATGACTTATCCTTTATACCAACAGGATAAGTTAATACGACCTACATGTTGCTGGCAGTTTATTACCTCAGTGTTAGCTATAATCCTAAATCTTCCCAATTAAAAATTCTTGTAAATTGTAAAAATTCAGTTTATTCAGGTTACTCACTATAATTTTTCATTGTTTTTGTACATTCCACCTCCAACATTAGAATGTAAGCTCCTTGAAGACACAGTCAATGTTTTATTTATGCTAGTAGTTTCTACAGTATTTAACACTGTGTTCCTAGTAGATGGTATTTTTTCTGCATGAATAAGTTAATGGAATGGAGTAGTTTCTAGGTGATCCATGAACCTGTTGATCAGTTTTCATAATATAGTGTAAAAATATTCCACAAAAAGTTATTTTGCTGACATTTTAACATATTTTTACATTAGTACATTTAATTTTATTAGTAACAACAAGAAATACATAATAATATTGTCTCTAATTTGAAAACAAAATGAAGCTTATGGGTGTTTAGTAACTTTTCTAAGGTTTCATTGCTGGGGTTTATTTGTTTATTTATTTTTTAAAGAATTATTAATTTAATTTTATTATTATTCTTTTAAAATTTGGTATAGGGCAAATTTACATCTCCTCTTCCCCCACTGAATTATTTCTGGCTCAGTCCAGTTATGTTCAGACCTGGGAGCAGTGAGGTCTTCATGTGCCTACCTATCTTAATTGTTCCCAGACTGGTAGATAGCTGCACCCTCACCTTCTGAAGCAGTGAGCTGCAGTCAGGATCCACACTTCACTGATCAAGATGCCTCCGCAGTGGTGGACATTATTGACTTGTAGACTGACTTGCCATGGCCAGTCTCCTTCTTCAGCCTTAGTGCCTCCAATGATTCTCTCCTCTGACAATGTCATTAGGTCTGGACGGACCCCACATGCTAATGAAAAAAAAAAGGCATTAATGTGCTGAGAAGATCATGATTCATTTGCATTTGGGAGATGCAGAAGAATTTCTCTATCATTTATGATTTTTACGCCTCTATGTGTTCTTCCCCAGGTCATGATAGACTATCCAAAAGCATGATAGAATGTTATATTTGTAGAGTATTGTGTGACTACTATTGACTATAGACTGTATTTTAGAGAACATATAAAAAATATAATTGACATGTGGACTTCAATTTCTGGAGCATCTTCAGAGTTCTCTGGGATTCCTCATGAGTGAGCATTAAGCTGCATTAATACTAGATGTGCCTGCACAAACCATAGGCTTCTGGGAAATTTCCATCTTCTCAGTAGCCTCACTATTCAAAGTGTGGTCTGTATGCCTGCAGCATGAGCATCCCCTGGGGTACATGCTAAAAATGTTAGACCTATGCAGGAAACAAATCAGAAACTGCATTTTATTTTTTTATTACTATTATTTTTTTTGGAGAGGTTTTGCTATAGGGCATGTGTGCTCACCAGGAAGACAGAAAGACAGAAAGAGAGAAATTTTCCCCCAGGGGGGATGGCCACATCGCAATCTGTTCTCCTCCATTCTCCTCTTAGGATCTTGGGCAGGTACGCACACATGCCCGGCATGAGTTTAAGCCACCAGGCTGGGACTGGAGCCACAGTTGGCGCCCTGGGAGTCCAGCAACATAGCCATTATATGCCAACTGCTGGTCCCAGAAACTGCATTTTGTTGAGAGATTTCTGAGCACATTGAAATTGGAAGAAAACTGATCTCAATTAAGAAGACTACTTAGTGTCATTGCAATTTATTATGGAAAATGTGTCCTTAGAAAGAAGTTGCTATAAGTCCACAGAATATTCTTAAATTGGATAACTGAGAGTTTCTAGTATCTAGATGAAGTTTATTTAAATGCCTTAAGAGAGCCCAGGAATACTCTAGTAGCCAGAGCTAAAATGGTCTGGTGTAGACTGATCACCTAATTCCATTCAACTCCCATTCTCATTATTTTTTTACTCTTGTTTAGTATATTACTAAAAAATTAGAGTTAAATTACCACCAATGATTTCTCTTGCTGGGCTGATTCTCAAGTAGTGCCCTGCTTCAATAGGACAACCCAGAAACATTTTTTTTCTAACTAATTTCCCTAATAAACAAGGACTAGACTTCCATTAAGAATATGCATGGAAGACAGTTTCCTTTGCTGCATCCACCAGACAGATTCCCTTATCAATTGCTTAAGCATATTTTCACTATAATTAAGCATGGATTAAAAATGTAAGGAAATTTTAAAACACCCATCAGGTTAGCATCACCTTGTAAAATCTTGTATTTGAGCTACACCAACTATACTATTACTTTGAACTAATTTCCAAATATATTCTATCAGATACAGAAGTCTGTTCTCAAGGGATTACGTTTCTGCCATCCTAGCCTGAGAGTATATAGGATGGTGTTGGAAAGTAGTGACTTTTTCTTTGGGTTATAGACTCAAAACTGACAAAACGTTTTATAATTTTTTATACGTTATGATTAAACTGACTCCACAACAAAGCAAGCTATTTTGGTGGTTAGGAGAAGCTACATTAAGTGGTGTCAAACATAATTTACAAGTCTACAGAAATTCCACCATTGAATAAGGGCAGTAAAAGCTTTCGTAAGCTGCCAAGAAAATTTTCATGAGGTCAAGCTTGAGTACAGATGGATAGCACCCCGCTGCTACTTCTTTCTTTTCTTGAAGGGTGAGGGGAACTTAAACATTACTCTGTGGGCCCGTAGGATCAGCATGTCTTGTTGCAACAACAGTCTACCTGAGTGATCTAAGAATAAATGCCCCCAACTGCATGAACACTGTCTTCTAAAGAATATAAAGACTTGTACTTTTGTTCTTTAAATTTTGTGAAACCATATTTACAAAATAATTTAAAAACTTACCATTAGTGAAAATATTTACTGTATCCTGGTCAGTAATTGCTAGCAGGAAAAACAAAACAAAACAAAGCAAAAGAGTGAGAATAGATCAACACAATAAGAGCTGTATATCATTTCACTTTGATTTCTTAAACTGTACATCTCAGAAAATCAGAATCACTTAGCAGGTTTGGAAAATACAGATTCCTAGGTGCTATCCTAGACCTACTGAAAGAATCTCTGAGTCTTGAGACTCTGAAATCTGTTTTTACAACCTTCCCCTAATGTACTATTCCACACACTCAAGTTTATGCTTTAATTTCTCATCATATACTTAACAGATTTCCCTACCCTCTAGTCACTCACATTGTTGGAAAAACAACATAAGCAAGTCATTGAGATAAAAACATGATAAATATTTTAAAACAAGTTATTTTAAAAGTTATTTAGATATATCTATAAGTACATATGGGAATACAATGGGTACTCCAAAAGTTCATGGGAAATGTCTTTTATGAATAAAACCATACATGGATTTCAAAATTTTCTTGCAACAAAAAAACTGATACTTTAATTATATTTTTCCACAAACTTTTAAAAATCCCCTTGTATATGTGTATTACTCCACTGAAACTGTTCTAAGAGCTGCAAATAGTAAAGATAGAGACCCTGCCCTCATAATATGCAGATAAATTAATCAAAGAATTATCCTACTTTAGAGCAGAGAAGAGAATTGAAAAAGCAACTCGTGCTAACTGATGTTATCATGGAGAGAATAACATTTGAGCTGGATAAATTATTAATAACATTTGAACTGAAGGAAATAACATTTGTAATGTATCTGGAAGATGGAAAAGGAAGTTTTCAGGCAGAGAAGAGGAGAAAAAAACATTCCAGATGGAAGGTGTAGTGATTACAAAGGCATAAGGAGTAAAATGTTTGTGGAGCAATGAAGTCAGTGTTTGTGTTGAGATAGTGTTTGTGTTGCATGTTGGTAAATGGCAGAAGAACCTGAAGAGGAAAAAACATCAGTGTCAAATAGTGAAGATCTGTCTATTACAATTTAAGGTTAACATACAGGACAGTTTTCTCTGTGTGTCTAACAGCCACTTTAAAGTCAAAGTGACCAAATTTTAGCACAATTTGCCTGTTTCCTCTCTAGTATGTAACACCGCTTCCACTGGTAGCTAGAAATGTGAAATTGTCTCAAACTTCTCATTTCCTGTCATTTTCTCATCTTATTGGTCTCCACGTTCTGTATCTTCTGAGCCCTGACTATCCTTCCAACGAGACCCATCCTCTACATTTTTTTCCCTATTGCTTTAGTTCATGCTTTCAGCATTTGACACCAGTACTGGTAAAATAACTTTCAAAATGAGTTCCCTGCTGCCACTTCTGTATTTTAAAAATTCATCCATCTCTATCAGACTGATTGTTTCTAAAAAATGTATGTCAGATCATAGCCTTTCCTACTTGAAATTTTTATTGAGAAATCAATCTTTTTATTTTCTATAAAATACATCCAAACTTCTCAAGACAAGTTACATACTTTCCAAAATCAGTTTTTGTAAAGATATTTCCTGCTAGAAGTTTCACAGGGCTTGAGTATTACATTTTCTTTGTAAGCGTTGGTGAAATCAAATAATCCTTTTGGAGACAGGAAATTTAAAAAGCTGATTACTTTTCTTCATTCTTTGAACAAGAGAGACTCGAGCTTGAATCCTAACTGTCCCACATGCTGACTGTTATAATCTTGGGCAATTATCTTTCTTTTGTAAGTGAAAATTATAAAAAATATCGATGGGATATAGTTGATATCAAGTGAAGGATCAAATGAAGAAAAAAATGCATGAAAGACACTTAAAGCCATGCCTAAAAAAATAGTAAGTGCTTATTAAGTAAGTGTTTTGATGACTATGAGGATGACAACACAAACCGATTATTCCAGTAGGGCCCTCATTGTTTTGCAAAAGCATTTTATTTATTACAGACTGTTTTCTTTTTTTCATTCTCTCAAACTCCCGTAATATTCTCTCTCATCTCAATATGTGGTACTCCTGCCCATATACCAAGGTCAAAGTCCAATCTCCTTCATAAGGCTTCTGATCTCTCCCTTTACTCGTTCTTACAGTTCTCGCTGTCTGTACCTCACATCAGGCACTTGACCATATACTAATTCCATTATCAAAACTCCTGTGTTGGGATATATTTTGCATCAGCTAGATTATGAGCTCTTGGGAAGTGGAAACCATTGTTAGGTTAACATTATATGCCCACGTTGTCCAGTATAATGTTAAACAAATAACAAGCACTTGGAAATTTCTTTTGGAAGTATTCCTTAATGTATGAGAGTGGAGGAGAATCTCGATTACTTAAGCTGTAGTGTATGAGCATCAGCCTGTCAAAAAGGATGCAACTAGGCCATGGGGTCGGAGCATCTTGGAGTTCTTTGTTGTACAAAGCAATAACTCTTTAATTTGGGGGATCAGGGGAGGAACTGGGAGTCCAGGGTGGGGAATGGGGCAATTTGGAGGATCTAGACAGATGACTTTGTGGTTCTGATGCAGTGATTCTTTCCAGGTTAGGATGAAACCAAACAATGCAAAATTACACAAATAATTTTGTAAATTTGTTTGTAATAAATGTTACAAAGGGGAATAAAGGCAGCTGTGAGATGGATCATTAACTAAATTGTTTTCTGAGTTTGAGCATCTTTTTGCCATTCCTATTCCAAAAGCTACAAATTGAACATTTGATAATAACATCTCTCATAAAGAGAGTTGGAAAGATGGTTAATAAAAACCATTTACTTAAATAATATATACTATATGCTAAATGATTCTTTGTCTTAGAATATTTTATATCAGAAAGTTATATATAATATTTAACTTTTAACATGGTGTTTCTATAAAGTTTAATTCCAATGAGAGAAAACGAGAGAAAAAAGCCTCTCATTTAATTATAGTGTGAATTCAAATCGGTAAACCTGAGGGATTTATTGAAATAAACTGATATCTAAAAAATGGTACTTGCATGTTATCTCAGTTGAATGGTTTATTTCCAAGTTTCCAGAGTTGTTCAGCATTTGGTGTAGAACAGACTCAATTCTGCTTTTCATTGTTGCTCCATTGTAATTTCTAGTGAATCGAAATTTCATGACAACATCTGCTCTCACACCATTACCATCTTGCCTGTAAATCATAAAGATATTTTTAAAAATGGGTAATAGAGTCCAGCAGGTGGTATGTTGATTAAGGACTGGATTCCCATGTGGCCAACCGTAGTTTGAGTCCTGGTGACTTGAAAATTTCACCAGGTGCATGCGCATATGTGCCCAAAACTCTAGAGGAAAGTGGAGAAGAAGGGATTGTGGCATGGCCATCCCTTCAGTAGGTGATTTCACTTTTCCTCTCTCTGTTTCTCTCTGGTGAGCACATGTGCTCTAGCAAAAGCCTTAAAAAGAAAAAATGGTAGTGATAATTTTTTACTGTCTTTATATATCCTTATTGATTCAGCCTTTTTTTTTTTTTTTAGAATTCAGTTGAACTTAACTACAGAACAGATTTACACAACAGTGTTTGCATATCTAATGATATATCCTAATGCTACTCCACAAATTTGATCTTAATGCACAGTACACTGTACCCACCATATAGTGTACCTGGCTTTGAAGTCAGAATGCCAGTTTTACAATGTGACTCTGAGTAAGTTATTTAAGCTTCTTAATATTTATGTATAGGGACCAGCAGTTAGCGTAATGGCTATGTCGCTGGACTCCCACGTAGTTGACCGTGGTTCGCGTCCCGGACCCGGTGGCTTAAAACTCACGCCGGGTGCATGCGCGTGCGTGCCCAAGATCCCGAGAGGAGAATGGAGGAGAAGGGATTGCGGCGTGACCATCCCCCCTGGGGGGTGATTTCTCACTTTCTGTCTCTATGTCTCTGTCTGTCTGGTGAGCGCATGCGCCCTATGGCAAAAATCTCTCCAAAACAAGACAAAACAAAACAAAAATTTATGTATATAGGACTCCCCACATATAAAATGAATTGTTATGAAGATGATATGAATTTATATATGCAAAATTTTTTGAGTGGTTTTTGCCATAGGGCGTGTGCGCTTGCCAGACAGACAGAGACAGACAAAGAGACAGAAAGCGAGAAATCACCCCCCCAGGGGGGATAGCCATGCCACAATCCCTTCTCCTCCATTCTCCTCTCGGGATCTTGGGCACGCACACACACGCGCCTGGCGTGAGTTTTAAGCCACCAGGTCCAGGACGCGAACCGCGGTCGACTACATGGGAGTCCAGTGACATAGTCATTATGCTAACTGCTGGTCCCAATATATGCAACAATTTTATGAAGAGGACAAAGCCGATAAGGAGCTATTATAAGACTTCACTCTCTTAAAAAAAATACAGAAAAACAAAAAAACCTCATCTCTTAAAAAATCTTATATAGTAGTAAGTTTTGAAATTTATGTGAGTTAGAGACTTAAGTTAATTTTCTGGTATCTGACCCTATTCATCAGCTACAACAGCAATGTTGAACTTTTGTAGTCTTATGTAAATATTTCATCTCCCACTTCAATTGATCACAGATATTCCTCACAATAAATCTGTATAACTTGATTAGAGATTCTGATTATCTAAAGCCTAGCTAAATTCCACATTCTGCCCTGTAAATTACCACATTAACCATTTCCTCCAACACTGGCTATTTTCTTTAAAAAAAAAAAAGCATTAAATAATTGAGGTTTTGCTTCTCTAGTATTCACTCTCAGCCCCCTCTTCTCAGCTCTATTGTAAGTTCTGGCTTAATATTCATTCCATTTTTACAGAAAAAAATATGAATGTGCGATTCAAAGATGAGGGACACTTAATGAATGCTAAACATATAAAGAACTGCTCAAACAGGATAAATGGTTTACACCAATTAGTTTGTTCGATTTTCATAACAACACTATCAAAGAAGCACTTTGTATAAGAAACTGAAGCACAGAAAGGTTAAGTAGCTGGACAATGATCACATAACTAAAGAGAATGAGTGCTGGAATTTGAACTTAAGGAGTTTGGCTCTAGAGCCTCTATGTTTTATTACTACAAAAGTCAAACTAAAGAATGCCATTTTGCACTCATTGGATTGGCAAAAATTAAATTAGAACCTGACTATACTGAATACTAGTGAGGATATTGTACAGTACTGTCTCTGTTGGTTGAGGTGTAAATTCCTACAACCACTTTGGAGAGCATTTTGCCAGTATCTAGTAAAGCTGAATATTCAATCATCAGTATCTAGAGATTACAGTTTTTGATGTATACGCTTGAGAAAACCTCTCATGTTTCATATGAAAAGAATGCTCATTGTAAAGTATTTAAAATATGAAAAAATAAATACATTTGATGTTGAGTGGATAAGTAAACTATGGTATGTTCATATGATAACACAATAAAGTGAATTAATATGCAATAGTTAAAACAAATCAACTAGGTTTAGCTATATTAAAATAGCTATATTATAATATTAAAATATTAATAAATTAATATTTAAAAATCTGAACATATTTATAGAAGTATATTGTATAATCCAATTTCTATGAAATTAGAAACATCAAAACAATTCTTTTTGTCAGTTGTGTGTATATCTATAGGAGCATGCATGAAAAAAATCCTTATGGACTCCTCTGGCCTTTCCAGTTCCACATCCAGTCTTGTCATCTCTACCTTAAAAGTTTACCTGGAATCTTGTAATTTTTGCCTCTGTCATCCTAATGAAAGGCACTAAAGTCTCTGTTCTTATTTATTGCAATATGTCTTAGATGATCTCCTTCTTTGACCCTTACCTCTCTAATTTATGCCTCGCACAGCAGTGTGTTGATCTTTTAAAATTTTAATATGAACTGTGTTGTGTCACTCATGGTCAGTGGCTTTCTATGTCATTCAGAGTAAAATCCAAGGTTCCTACTGTGACCCACAATATCTATAGGATATTGTCTTTGGGTAAAGCTCTCACCATGACTGTTTTTCACCACATTACCCACTTCAGACACATAGGCATTCTTTTTGTTCATCGATGACAAGTTCCCACATTAAGAACTCAGCACTTGATTCTTTCTCTGCATGGAATGCAATGGTTATTATTGTTTTCTTCATGTCTCACTCAAATACTGTTTCATCATAAAGGTCTTTTCACCTCATATAAAAAAAACCTTGCCTCTTGGGCCAGCAAATGGCATGGTGGTTAAGGTACTATACTACCTTGTGGTTGACCATGGTTTGAACCCTGGACTCAGTGGCTTGGAAATCAGTGTGCCCAAAATCCCTAGAGGAGAATGGAAGAGAAGGGATTGCAGTGTGGCTATCCCTCCTGGGGGATGATTTATCACTTTCCCTCTCTTTATTCAGTGAGTGCTTGTGCCCTATGGCCAAAACCTAAGGGGGAAAAATCTTGCCTCTTTGGTCTAATCTTTATTCCATTACCTGGTTTATTTTTCTTTATTATACTTACTGCATCTGGCACACACATATTTATAGGTTTGTACCCTTCCCGTGGACTCTTCCTATTCTTCTATCTCCTCCTTTGTACTTATCAGATCACAGCTGTATGCAATGAATACTTACTAGGTGACTTTGGAGAATAAGAAAAAGATAATTTTCTCATGACAATAGTATTTGAGGAAAAAAATAGTTTAATTCTTCTCCCTACCAAAGAATTTTGCATTTAATTGAGCAACATGGACATATGGGAGAGTCAGTAAGGGTGACTATTTTAGTTGGGGGGGGGCTGTTTTATCACATAACGTAAACAGGTAACCAAGGTATGAATGGCAAACAACTAAAACACATATTGCTACTTCTTCTATTTTTAAACTATGATGGACATGTCTTAGATTTCACCCAGGCATATTAAAAATATCACTTTTTATATTGGTTATGATGTCTTGATCTTGGAAGAATACACCAAGTGCCACAGCATTGTACAACTCCAGGAGGCACTGTTTATCTAGAATACATTGTGAATAATATCCACCAGATTTATATAACTGTTCCTGCATTCCAACTTTATAACTTTTTTCCTCTTTCCTCCATAAAAATTGAAGTAACATGTTTATTTGTGTTAGTAGCCAAAAAGATCATATATAATATTAGTTTCTACTGGGGGACATTGTTTTTTAAAGCTGCTCTAAATACTATTTTCATAATATTGCAACAAATTTTGTGAACATGTCACTCATTATACATACTGTAAACAAAGTCAAATGTGCCAAATTGCATGTATGCATGTATTTTTTTATATAGTTCCACTCACCTTATTTTGACAACATGAGCTCTGACAAATTGATTCCTCAAATTTGACTCTTTGAATGCTTTAGTAATCTGTACAATGAAAGAGGGAAAAAAATCTCTGTAATTACAGTTCTTTCTATCCTTTCTCTCAATCTTGTAACATGGGACTCATGTTAATGAGTAAAAATCTAAGTTTTCAGTTCAGTTCAGTTCCATCAAGAACATATGGGATCAGTTTTTGTAATCATTTGATGCAGTACCTGTTTCTTCATCTTACACAGAAATGATACTGGACAGAATGTGCCTTTACTTACAAGTCTTTCTAAACACATTTCATGTTTTACTCGATGAGAGTTTATTTTCTGTGACTTAGTGGCTGCTATTAAGTGGGTTGAGGCAATGGCAAGGCAGTAATAGGGTAGTCCACTCCTACAACTTAAACTCTGTGTTCCTCATCAATTGTATTTTAAGTGGATAAAACTAAATTAAACAAGATTAAAATGAGTATTGAGAGAAAGCTTGATGAGAAGGGGAAAAAGAAGCAAAGGGAAGTTTCTTGTCATTTCTAATTCACACATAAGTATCAGAGGTTATCTTTAGAATCAATTAATAATTTCCCAACCTAACTATAACTATCTCCTTGAATTATCACTCAGTCCTAACAAGGATAATTCTCTTGAGGTATGAAATTCAGAGTTTCACAGTCAACTAGAAGTACTTCTGTGACTGACACAATTCTGAAATGCAGGGTCAGATGTATCGTGGTTTCACAATGGAGAATGGATTTTTTGGTTTGTACTGTGAAGTTGCACCCCAGTGGATGTGGACATAAAAAGATAAAGATGGGAATTAAAGCATGCACAATATTATATTAAGCCAGGATGTGAAATCAACTCTTCTCGATACTGATAAATTTATGCAATCTTTATCACACCACAACATATTTTGTATTGCTAATATTCATTCTCATAGGCTCATTGACATTAGCCAATTATTTCACAAAATGATAATTTTGGTTTTTTTGAAAGAGGTCTTGAACATTTTAAAGACTAATAAGACTATTCTTTTTCAAATAATTCATGTTCCTTTTTAAAATATTCAAGAAGTACTAGTAAGTATTAAGGAGATTAGCAAAATGTCACTCTAAATTGTATGATATAGAATTAACCATTGCTGCCATTAGGTAAAATATATTCCAATTATCTAGGTAAAAAAATGGGTTTTAGAGGGACCAGCAGTTAGCGTAATGGCTATGTCGCTGGACTCCCATGTAGTAGACCGTGGTTCAAGTCCCGGACTCGGTGGCTTAAAACTCACGCCGGGTGCGTGTGTGTGCGTGCCCAAGATCCCAAGAGGAGAATGGAGGAGAAGGGATTGCGGCGTGGCCATCCCCCCTGGGGGGTGATTTCTCACTTTCTATCTCTCTGTCTCTGTCTGTCTGGCAAGCGCACACGACCTATAGCAAAAACCTCTCAAAAAAAAATGGGTTTTAATGAACTACATTATAGGAGGTATTTTACTAAAGGATTTAAGCTTAACTTCTGTAAAAGAAATGGGCATAAAGCTGAAGGAATTTCTAAAATTTGGATACATGTTTCTTAAACTTTTGTTTTGTTTGTTTTTGCCAGACGGCACATCAGTTTACCAGAGAAAGAGAGGGAGATGGAGAAAGCACCCCTCTAAATGAGACATGGTCATGTGACATCCATTCTCCTCCATTTCTCCACCCTGTTGAGTTAGGGGGTATGCTTACATATGCATCCTGCATGTTTTTAAACCACTGGGGCCAGGATTTGAACTGCATAGTTGGCCATGTAAGATATGGCCCACTTAACCATGAGTTCATGTAGTCAAACCCTCTTATGATTGCATCTCTTTTTTCCTTTAACTTTTGCCATAGGACAAACAGAGAAGACTTGGTGGAGAAGCAAAAAGGAAGGGAGGGAGGAGAGATAAAGAGAAGGAGGGAGAGGGAGACAGAGAGAGAGTGAGAGAGAGAGAGAAAGCTAAAAGATAAATGTTTCCTGAGATGGGATGGACATGCTGTAATTCTTTCTCCTCCTCTCAGGATTTTGGGCACACATGTACATATGCTGTTGTCAAGTCTGGGGACTCGAACTATGCAGTTGGCCATGTGAGATACAGCTGCCCCAACCAACGTGCCACTGGTCGTCCCATATAATTATGTTTTAGTTTACAGTTTGACATTGCACTGGCACACAAGTTAGACTGGACCAACATGTTAAAGATGCACTGTAATGTTTGGCATGTTCTGTACATGGACATTAAGAAGTGGTTAGTGAGGATTAAGATAATAAGAACAATTAAAAAAGAAAGTTGATTAATTGGTTGATATGCATGTATGAGGATGAAAGAAGAGGTCTATGGATAGAACTTCGTATTTCAGAAAGTGGGTGAAGTTGTTGTTGATGAATCTCAGAACTTATCAAATGTTTGGCAGAAAATCCATGAGCAGCTGCTTGGAAAGTATACCGGTGGGATAGTGGAAAGGGCAATATATGGAGAACACAGAGTCAGGTTAGTTTAACTTGCATAGGAACTTTTATTAACTATATAATCTTTCTTCCTCTCAGTTTCTCCATCTATAATAGAACAGTCAAAAGTGTACTAAAATAATTTATCTTTACACAATTGACTACTGCAACTCAGAGATTGTGCATCTACTTTTAGTGAGGATTACATTCAATCTTTTGGCCTTTTACTTCCTTCCAAAGTTATTAATCTGTTCAAAGGAATTTACTTTCACACCTATTTGATTTTGTAACTTGTACTATTGCCCTTTTTATTACATTGGGCAAAAGCCAAGTAAATAATGAGAAAAGAGTATTTTCTTATATTTCCTTCCTAATAGAGGTTGACAATACTGATTATGTTTTTAGCATAGTGTAGAATCCTCAGCTTTCAGAATATTTGTACTTGATAAAGGCTGAAGCAAATTATTAATTGTTTAAGTAAATTCTAATGAAGTGAACATCATTAAATCTGTTAGTGAAACAAGTCCTGTAAAAGGTAAACCATTCCACGTAGAATGTTTGTAATTGTCATGTATTTTTCATTTTTAGAGTGAAAGGTCTTACTAACTGCCTGTGAATGTGTCAGATAAGTCATTTTCATATTGTTGGAAAAGAATCTGGAATATCTCAGTGTTAATAGTAGTAATATGAGTGTTAAGATTTTGTATATATTTTTTTCTTCTTCACATTTCCTGAATGCCCTGAATTTTTTACATGTTTTATATAGTCTTTATTAAACTACTAAAAGCATATTCATTTTTAATGAAAAGACATATATATGCATAATAATGATTTACTTTACAGACCTTTCTCAAGAATGATTTAAAAACAGCAGGCTGGGATCAGGAGGTAGTGTGATAGGTAAGGTGCTAGATTCCCATATAGCTGAGCATGGTTTGAGTCCCAGACTCAGTAGCTTGAAAATCACACTGGGCATGTGCGTGTCCAAAATCCTGAGAGGAAAATGGAAGAGAAGGGATTGCAGTGTGGCCAGCCACCCCCTGGGATGGGGGTGATTTCTCTCTCTCTCTCTCTCTCATCTCTAGTGAGTACATGTGCCCTATGGCAAACACCTAAAATAAATAAATAAATAACAGGCTAATTGTATATTTTGAGACTTCTGAATATTTTCTCAAGGTGCTTGTAGTACTCTTTTATTTAGTTCATGATCTTTTGTATTTCTGAATATATGTTATGCTTCATATCATTTCTCTCCAAACTAGCCTTTTGCAATTTTACATATGCCTCATTTAGCTGATCTAACATACCTGATCTGTTCTAGCAGGAGCTGAATCAATAGGGCCAAGGACACCTTGGCACCTCTGGCACCTTCCTTTAATGACAAATAGCTTGGTCTTAATTCCCCATAATTAAGCTGGATACTTCTCAATACACACCCTTCTGGTTTGCTTCCAATTTTAGGCTGGATGCATAGCTGACACATTACAAGGCGTTTTTGTTTGGATGTGAGGACTTTATTTTGAATAACTGTCCTCAGAATGCTCTTCTCAGGGCAGTTATTTCTAGTACCTTTTTCAAAAAATTTAGAAATATTCATTGGTTTGAACTCCAAATAATGAGATTTCATGGTACAAATCATATAACTAAGTATTCCTGTGTATTTCTAGAAACAGATTGGAAAGAGAAAGCAGTGAGTAAGGGCAGACAATTGCTTTAATGAGTCCAAAATGAAGTCTTTTCTGCATTTCTACCTTTTTGAGAATATTCCCTAATTCAGGCTTTTAACCGTGGCTCTTTTCTGGATTCCTACAATGAGCTTCTTCCTATAGATTCTTCCTTCTAATCTAATTTATATACTTATGAAAATGAATGTGTCAGAGTCTTTTTTTTTTTTTAATCATGTAAGATGCAAACTTGTCTGCTAAGCATCTTCTCACTTTTATAGTCTGGCTCATGTCTTAGCCATTGTGTACCCTATTTATTTTCACAGTCAACCTGAAACGTCATCTATTATAAGCCACCATCACTTATTTCCATAATTGTATGTAATTAATACCCCTTTCAAAGTCCTTCACCACAAATTCATGTATGTGTTGCTCTCACAATGGCTAAAACATGAGCCAGACCATAAAAGTGAGAAGGTGCTTAGCTAACAAGTTTGCATCTTATTTTGTAAGCAAAACATCTTGAACTGGAAGTAACATGATTAAAAAATAAAAGAATCTATTTCTTTCTGGCAAATTAAATAATAATAATAATAAAATAGACTTGTTTAATCTCCCATGTTAGAGGAAGATCTATGAGAGCAGGATTAAAGAAGTCTACAATACTTATAAGGTACATGGTGAGTATGTGGCATGAGAACAATATATTTTATGATTTAACCATTTTATGTCCATTTGGTCGATTGATTTTTTAAATATTAAAATTTTTATTTTATTATTATTATTTAATTCACTGGAGAGAGTGAGAGAGGGAGAAAGAGAAAGTGAGAAAGCAAGTCACCAAGTTGGGAAATTGAATCACGAGGTGATGGCCATGCTGCAGTCCCTTCTCTTCAGCAATTCCTTTTCCTCCTTTCTTCTCCTGGGATGTTGTGTACGCATGTATGTGTGCCCAGTGTGAGTGTCAAGCCAGTGACATAACCACTACTCCATCTACTGTCCCCAACAATAGACCTCTAATCTTTGAAGTAATAATAAAATAAAATGTGTACTTACTCATGGCCTTTTACTTTTCATTCACAACTTAATAACTGTGAATAAGAACTAGTATATTAATAAACTAACTTAAAAAAAACACATATCTTATACCATTCAAGTGAGAAAAATAGGTGATGCATCTAGCAATTGAAACAATATCACAAAATATTAGATTTATCATACTAATTTTATGATGGATTAAGAGCAAGACAAATATTAACTTACCATAGATTCAATTTTTTCACTCAAAGACCTGTATTCCTGAGTGGCTGGTGAATCTAACTGATTGCTATATTTAACATTTAGGATTTGAAAGGTGCTACGGTAAAAGTAAGCTTTTTGATCTAGAAAAGAACAGAAAGACAGGATCAGCTTTATTTTTTAAGTAGTTGACTCTTTAGTCATGATTATTGGGAGCTATATTACATAATTTAAAAACATTTGCTTTCTTTAAAAGGAAAAATAAGAGAATATATTTAATATAGATGTAGTTATAATAAATTTTTTTTTAATTTCAGTTTTTTTTTTTTGAGAGTTTTTTTCGCTGTAGGGCGCGTGCGCTCGCCAGACAGAGAGAGACAGAGAGACAGAAAGCGAGAAATCACCCCCCAGAGGGGATGGTCACACTGCAATCCCGTCTCCTCCATTCTCCTCTCTGGATCTTGGGCACGCATGCACACGCGCCCGGCATGAGTTTTAAGCCACCAGGTCCGGGACGCAAACCGCGGTCGACTATGTGGGAGTCCAGTGACATAGCCATTACGCTAACTGCTGGTTCCGTTTATTTCAGTTTTTAAAAAATTGACAAAGTCAGAACTGTAAAAGATACATGAAAATAAGAACAGAATTATTATTCCAGAAATTAAAAATTGTTCAGAAGTAGTATAAATTTTAAATCTTAATATAGTTTAGAGAGGTTTGAGGTTTATTCATTTGAGAAGTACTATGAATATCTATATCTATAATATGCTATTATTCATTTATCATTGAAAAAAACCCCAAAGTTCAAAGTAGTTCTGGTTAGTTTTAAAAGTCATTTCAAATAATATTCATTTTTTTTAAAGAGATTTTTTACTAGAGAGCACGTGTGTTCATCAGAGAATTACCTTGATCAGGGGTAAGAGTTGGAGATGTGGAGCAAGGATGATTCTCTATAGTGGAGGGACAAGTCATTTTTGGGCCACAAGTGATAACTGGGGTACAGTTTGAAGAAAACTTACCATGACATCCTCCTTTGTGTATTAATATGACAATACAGTAAATAATAATTAATTTAACCTGAAACTTGGTATTTTTTTTCCTACCTCTATAATTCACGTTAGGGATAGACAACTTCAGGTGATTTGATAGCAAAATGTAGTCAAAAGCAAAATTTAGCCATGACATTTACATTTGATTCTCTTAAATAAATTATTCCTCTGTACTGGTTTTTCTAATGTTAGCAGTTATATTGCAGCATTGACATATTTCAATCTCTGTGTAGTTAAACAATTTGTTCATTTATAGTAAGACCTACTGTTGGGTAAAAATACGTCATGACTATTCCAACGACCTAATATAAACCGTTTCTCTCCAGATTAAAAAATCCACATACCCTCCTGTAGACACACCACACGAGGTTTAAATTATTTGACATGATTATACCTGAAATAAAAATAACCCTCAAAAAAGGACTGCAGTGCTACCAATACCCATGAGTGGTTAAGGGGTGCTTTCTTTCTCCCTCTGTTCCTCTCACCTTTCGTCTCTCTGGCTTGTGCATGCACCTTATGGCAATAACAATAATAATAATAAAACTAGAAGTGTATTTTGTGTAAGAAAAAAACAGATTAAATAGTTAACATAATCTAGCAAAATTTGAATACATTTTGTATAGATACATTAAAGCATCTGAATAATTATTCACTAAGATTTTGAGCAAAGTAGTTTATGAATGATCAGGGTGTGTGTATTTTTTTAATTGCCAGAGGACATGTGCACTCTCCAAAGTGAGAGAGACCGAGAGAGACAGAGAAAAGGGAGAGAAAAACTACCTCCCAATAGGGTGGGATCATGCCACAATACTTTTTCTTCTATTTCTCCATTCCCATCAGGATTTGAAGTATATGCATTATGCACCCAGTGTGTTTTTCAAGCCACCAGATCTGGGACTTGAACTGTGGTTAGCCATTTGGGATCTGTCTTTCTATGCACAGCACTTAACCACTGCTCTACAAGGCTATCCCTATTTTTATTATTTATATTATTTTTCTTGTCCATATTTTCTAATTTTTTTATAATAATAAAAATGAAAATAAGAGAAATAATGAAATAGTATCTTTTAAGTACAATTTTACCCCTTTCTACTGATCTGCAAATTTATCTCCTTGACCATCATAACTTCTGATTGTAAGACTATGCTTTTAGGAAGCAATATGAATTAAGAAATACTTAGGTACATTTGAAATTGAACTGTTGAAACAAAAGTTTTGTTGTGATATTTGTCTTCTACAATATTATTAGGTTATTAAATAATGAAACCATGGTACTAGTGAAAACAAAATGGGCAAATTTTAGTATTAGAAAAGTAGGAAGAGATTTGACTAGAATAACTCTTGGTTGGGCAACAATATTTTGCATACCAAAAAGAAAGTTTAGTATACTAAAAAAAAGCTCCAAAAGAAAAAGAATATAAAAAATATTGATTAAAGGAAAATATATATAAGAATGTACCTTTATGGAAGAATTATAAGTATAAATAAGATAAAAAATACATTAAATAAAAAATACATACTTTTCTCCATTCGAAAAGTTCATGGAAAAACAAAATTAAAGTATAACTTTATTTTGTTACAAAAAATTTTAAATCCAGGCGTAATTTTTGTAATATACATTTTCCAGAGACTTTTGGAAAACCTCTTTTATGTGTATACATATATAAAATTAAACTATAATTAAATAAATTATAAATAGAAAAAATACCCAGTTTTTTAAAAATCTGGAATGCTTTTCATCTGGAAGTATTTTTAGTTACTTAGTGTGAAAAGAAATAATCTGTTACTTACCAAAAGCTAAAAAGTGAATAAGTAAAGCTATGGTAACTGCCAGAATTATCACCCCTGCGATGACAATAAGACATATTACATACGGATTCTGGAATCTTGAAGTTGATGGCCCTCGGACTGGCCTTAGAATAAGAGAAAATGATAAAGTCATTCATTTTGCTCAGAGAAGTCTTTAATGATTTTTATTGTTTATTGTTTTGTTTTGTTTTGTTTTCCTCAATCTCTTTGCTTGAATATGGTTCAAGAATTCTAAATAAATAAACCAAATAAGGCTCTCCTTAGTGGTTTATCTTAAACCATTTATAACATTATATATTTCTTATAGGACAAAGAGAGAGAGTGTGAGAGAACGAGAGAGATAGCTCCCAAAACAGGGTCCTGACACCACAATCCGTCCCTAGCCTCAGTCAGTCCTGTATAATAGGCACACACATGCCCATTATGCTCATGAAAGCCTCTGTATGCAAACCCAGAGCCTTTCCAAGTTGAGCAGCCTTACAGAACAAAGTATTTCACTGCTCCAATCTGGCTACCAGCCAGCTCCTTCAAGATTTTTTTCTTTCGAGATTTTTTTTTTTTTCAATGTAGGATTGTTGACATTTAAGTTAGATGGAAAAATAAGGAAATATGATCCATGTTTGCAATCTCTTTCCTTTCTGCGAATTGATAGTTTTCATGAGTAGTGACAAATCTTTCTCTACTTTACTACTACACCTTCCAAGATCCTGTACTGGACACTACTGTATTAATCTCTTTTACTTGGGTATCATCCCCAGGGATGTACTGAGAAGAGATATTTTGCATAGGAAAAAGGGTGGAGTAGAGTAAAGAAGCAGGGCTAGGAGTTGGGAAGGACTTGGAATGGCAGCATTCTTCACTGTAATATTACTATATTATTATTATTTATTTATTTTAGAGAGAGATTTTTGCTATAGGACATGTGCACTCACTGGAGAGACAGAGAAACAGAAAGTGAGAAATCACCTCAGGGGATAGGGGGGTAGAGAGGATGGCCATGCTGAAATCCCTTTTCCTTCATTCTCCTCTCAGAATTTTGGGCACACATGCACATGTGCCCAGCCCGGGACTCGAACCACTGTCAACTGTATGGGAGTCCAAGGAAAGAATTATGCCATTTGCTGGTCCCTATATTACTGTATTATTAAAAATGGAGATGAGGGCAAAGGCAGAGAACTGAGATCAGGAGAGTAGCAAGCAAATGAAATGAATTAGAACTGATCCAACAGCAAAGGATTTATGTGATTTATAATTTCTTTCTCCACAAAATTGTCAATGTAAGCATAAGCCAATAGATTTATGATTATACAGTATCTGGTACTATATTAGGTATATAGCTCTGGAACTGTCTTAATCACTTCCTCCACCACACATACAGAATCACACACACTCACACTGGGGAGCTCACCAGAGGAGCTGGGTGTGAATTCCAGTTCTCCTTGTTTGCTTAGAGATTATATTTTCATTTATCTGAGACTTTATCCGAAAAAAGGGAATAAAAATAACACTATGCCAGGATGTTCTGATGATCAAATGAGGTTATGTTAGGCATTATAAAAAATATACTTCTAGCTAAATGAGTTACTCAGCGGGCTATGAACATTTTGAGGGTAAATATGGTTTCCAGGCTTGAGTTTCTGACACTTTATAGAATGCTTATATAGGTGTTTTGTAAAGATTAATGAATGGAATGTTCTAAGGGCCAGTAGTTTCCAGATGTTAAGGTTTCACTGCAGGATTGCCTGGTTGTATTTGGGGTCTAACTCATCTCTTAGTATTTTGTAGTGTACCATCTGCACTTCATATGTAACATTTCAGAAGATTATTAGAGGAGGACATAGATTTTCCAACTTTCAATTTTGTTAAGTAAACACTTTATAAATTTACAAAAATTTACCCTGCTAAAAGATGGTCATTTAATAAATGGGCATTTAATTATATGACACTGGAAGGAATTTACCTCAGAATAATTTTTAAAAAATGATAATACAGCTTTAACTTCATGATGTCTTTCTATGACATTAATCTTTTTTAAAAAATTATTTCTTTATTTAATTTAATTTCTTCTTAATATTTATTTTTTATTTTATTTATTTATTTATTTATTTTATTTATTTATTTTTTTTTTGGAGAGGTTTTTGCTATAGGGCACGTGCGCTCGCCAGACAGACAGAGACATGGAGACAGAAGGCGAGAAATCACCCCCCAGCGGGGATGGTCACGCCGCAATCCCTTCTCCATTCTCCTCTTGGGATCCGGGCACTCACACACACGCGCCCAGTGTGAGTTCCAAGCCACCGGGTCCGGGACGCAAACCGCGGTCGACTACGTGGGAGTCCAGCGACATAGCCATTACACTAACTGCTGGTTCCCAATATTTATTTTTTATTTTGACTAAAGAGAAAGAGAGAGAGAGAGTGAGAGAAGGGGAAAGCGAGAAAACAAGCCGTCAGGTCCAGAACTTGAACCATGGTCGGCCATGTGGAAGTCCAACATTTTAGCCACCATTGCACCTACCAGTCCCGTGACATTAGTCTTATTTGTTCATTTTGCGGTACAAGTGAAAACTGACTTTCACTAACACTGCTCCAAAATACAGTGTTTGAGAACCTCTACTGTAGCAATTTTCATGTTGGACAAAATTGGCACTTTGACATTTGCTAAGCATTAGAGCCTGAGTTTATTTGTTACCTTGTGGGGGTTTTGTGCCAGTTAAAAGCAAATGCATGATATTCAGCATCTATGATTTTAGTGAATATTAGTGACTACTGAGTAATGGAATAGTCAAAAAGAGACAGAGATGGAAGAAGGATTAAACTCCAAAAGGTTAAAAACTCAAAAGGCTAAATAAATCTTAGGTTGACACCACACACTCTCACACTGGGGAGCTCACTAGAGGAACAGGGTGTGATTAGTCTTCCTTGCAGCAATTAAGAATTTACTGCGTTTCCAGGGATGAACTAATGTGTTGAGGTCTGCAAGTGTGGAGTGAGAAGTCCTGAAAAACAAGGATTAAGTTGGAGGCCAACCCCTGTTCTCCAACTCCACCCCTACTCCCCTAAAACACACACAAAGACTTGGAGTCAGCATACACTATAGCTTGAATGATCTTCCCATGAGAATGACTTTAGAGTCAACTTTTCTCTCAGTTCATAGGAAACATCTTAAACTCAATGACTGAAAAGCACCATGAGACATATGACTCAATAAACAAGGGTGTGGAGCCCAAATTACCTTAATCTCACAAGCTGTAATTGATTACATAAGAATGGATTGTTCCGCCCTGTAGAAACAGATGAAGAAATAGTTGCTCTCTTGTTAGTAGTGCAACTAGTAGAGGAACCTCTGTATGTTGCTGATTATAAAGTTTATGATAATACACTAAACTGTGCATCATATTTGCGTTGTAAACTATTACAGAATATGTATTTGCAAACACTGTATTTTCACTCATAATGCAATGGAAATCTGTACAGTAAAATATTTTGCCTTTAAAGCAGAGTCCTATTAAGTAATATGTCTAGTGCTTGCATTTAAACATGAAAACAATATCCAATTGTGACACATTTAACCAGCTTCTTTCTCTTTGTCTATTTATTGATTTGGAAAAAATGTATCAATGTTGGAGAATTGATCTTTCTGCACTGTTACTGCGATAACCTAAGTGATAGGTATTGTACGTGTATTGGGGGTGGTCTTCAAAAAGTTCACAGAAAATGCATATTAAAATTAAAACAAAAAACTATGCATGGGCTGACCAAGTAACCTAGTGGTTGAAGGAGCTATATCTCCCATGAAAGACAGTAGTTCAAATCCCTGCCCCAGAGGCTTGAGAAACACAGAGCATATGTGAATGTGTGCCTAAAATCCTGTTGGGAGGAAGAAATGGAAAAAGGATTTTGGTGTGACTCCATGCTCTATTGAGGGGTTCTTTCTCTATTTCTCTTTCATTCTATCTTTCTGGCAAGTGCTTGCACCCTATTGCAATTTAAAAAACAAAAACTAGGCATGGATTTCACAATTGTTTGCACTAAAATAAACTATAATTTTTCCGTAAACATTTTGAAATCCCCTTATATATTGCCAATCTTCAAAATAGTCTTATACAGTCTATATTTTGAATCCATTTTAGGGAAAGTGAAGCTCGGAGAGAAAGTAACTCATGATTTTTCAAGAATGACAGAACTAGATATGAAAAACAGATAGGTTTGAATCAAAGAACTTGAACTTCCTCTCACATGCACTTCCTCCTCAGGTTAGTTGCTTCACTCTACACAGAACTGGAAAGCTTTGAATCTCCTGCCTCCCCTGACCTCACTTGGGGAAGTGAAGCAAAGAAAAGCAACATCTATTGGGTTGTTATTAAATGTCTTATGCAATAAGATAATTGTTGATTCAATTTTAATTTGAAAGTGCATCTTACATTAATATATCAGATTTCTGTAGGAATACTAATTAACTTCTGCCATTGATACATGGTTACACCCAGTAAGCCCCTTTGGGTTAATAGAGCTATTTGGCAAAAAATTTCCATTATTTTCAAGAATGGAGGAAATCAATAGCAGGATCATTTTAAATTAAAATATTCATAGTATCTATACAAAGGAGTTTTAGAAAATTGCATGTTCATTTAAGTAAAATTTCAGGTAGGATATTAATAAGCATTTGCTTCATAGTCCTTTTTTTCCTGCTATGAAGTCTTCCTCAGTGATTCCATCTCGTGGTTTCATAAAGTGCCCCACAGGATAATATTGCCTATGATGTATCTTTAGCCCAGACCCCTCTTTGAGTTCCACACCATCATTTTTAATGATCTGTTGGGCATTTTATGGATGTCTTACAACCACCTTCAATAGAACATTCAAAACTTGGTATCTGTTTTCCCAAACTACATGTACCTCATTCTCCCACTATTTCTAATATTGGTGAATGTTGCTACTTCTACCTATTACCCTATGTTAGAGATCAAGTAATTAGCTGCACCTGTTCTTTCATGGTTATATGCCACATCCAATAGGTCATCTAATAATTCTTATCCTACTATTGAAATATTTTTCTTTATTCTCTCTATATCTCGAATCTGGCTATCATCTTACTTATTATACTTGAAATGTCCCCTACCTAGAATCCTTG